AAGCAATCAACAGTATGATCATCAACCTACACATTTGGGATACGATGACATGTGTCAACCAAGTCAGCGAGCCTGACCACCCGATCCCGTTTGTCACCTGTTACGTCAAGCATAGGTTACTGAAGACCAATGCTAACCCTGAACATCACGGGTTGTATATCCAAAACAACATTCGGCAGTCAAGTATAGGTAGCACCATGCGTTGCAACTAATGTAATACGATAGGTTTTCATTGTTTGTAGCAAATTCACACACAAAAGGAATAATTAAAAATTCTTCCGAAAGTCGAGGCTCCTTGGGAAATATGGTTCAGATTGTAAGGTTCGGTAATACAATTCCAAATTAATACAAAAACGAAACGTTTTGAAATAATACTTAAAAACCATTGCCAGTTGCCACGACTCTTAGCACATTACTTGATGTTTAATGGCACTGAAACATAATACCCTTCTAAGCATTGGCTCTAAATGTGCAAAACATTGAAAAGTTGTTACATCAATTTATAAACTGGATTATATTCGTCTTTGATAACAATATGCAATCCAACTGAGTATTGAATCTATTATGTTTGACATTGAAAACTCTCAGATCGAATATATGATTTCAACTAGGATGATGAAATTACACATTACCATGCCCATCACGTTTGTTCTTGATAAAGTTTCAGATGGAATGCAATGCATAGAGAACAGCAAAACAATAGTTGAAATTGGCTCGACTTTCCAAAACGAATATCATTTGGGGTTTGGGGAAATCTTTGATAAGTTACACACTTTGAATACACGTTCATATTAATTCAACTCACTGACAAAACCAATTCTTCCGAAAGAAGAAAAGGCTGGACATATAGAACCTATTATAATGATTCCTATATATCATATACATATCTGTCAGGAAAAGTTTCATTTAAAAAAACATTAAAATAGAAATGTGGACAATACCAAATTCCACAAAAATAATTGAAATAACATAACATAAGTAATGTCGCTATTATGAGGGAAATTTGTTTATCTCAGAAGCCGTCAGTCCTGAAAGACCATTATTAGAAATTTATACAATCATGGTTTACATCAACAGAAAATATATGCAACAGCAAAACTTTAAAGGTCGATTGAACAATACTCTGTAGTTCTATATCAATGACACAGACTGTGAACACACGGTATTTATGCATTGTAATAACGCCTTTTAAAAACCACGGTAAACAGTAACATCATAAAATAGTTAAATCAGACCAGATGAAGTACCGTGAAGATTGTGGTTAGAATTGGTTTTCAGCAAACCATGCTTGTCGTAAGAGGCGACTAATAGGATCGGGTGGCCAGACTCGCTCACTTGGTTGACACATGTCATCGTATCCCAGTTGTGTAGGTCGATGCCCATGCTGTTATATAGCCAGAATATTGATCAACACAGCGTTAAACAACAAATAAACAAGAAACATTACAGCTAATCTTACACAACGTCTCAAATCCATGTTTTATGGGAGGGCGCATTGGTAGTGTCCAGATCATTTTTAAGCTTACTTGGTAATTCGGTAAGCATCTCTTTTTCTCGACAATATTCAACTATTGCCGCTAGTAATGCGTCCTTTCATTCTGGACACGTCCACCGGAATCTGCGTAGAGTGACCATGAATGCCTGGATTCTCGGCCTGAACACAGTAGATAATGTATTTTGTAGAAGTCATCAACACCCCTTGTGAAGCGTTCCTTATTAGCCCCGGGGACAAGGAAGTAGTGGTCTCGGTCCTGATTGGCTCAATCATCAAGTGGATCACACAGGACTTAGACACAGAAGACTAATCCAATTGCTTCCATTGATATTAACATAGAGGGCAATGAAACCGACATTCTGTTGGTTGCTGGTAGACCTAGACGGAATGTACAATGAAATTCACAAAACAGTTTTTACAACACAATAATGATCAGCATATAATCGTTCTAATTAACAAATTTAATTAAGGATTAACAACTTATGAATAGAAATTACCGCTACTTCAGTTACATATAAACGGTTATCCGTTCAAAGGCATTAATGTTTAGGAGTTTTATTGTATACTTTTAGATGTGATACCTCTATCACATTAGAAATGTTTTAGAAATGGTATTGTGAACACCGAAAAAGCTGTAAAAATGTCACAGATGTTCAAATCACGGTTATAAAGAGAAGAGATTTTTAAATTCCCTTATGAAAGAATTAAAACAAATAATACGTGTTAGTATCGTAAACATGTAAAAGCATGTAAACATGCGAATATATATGCCTGGAAACCTGGATCATGAAAATCATTTTGTCTTATATTAAGTGTTAAGATCGAAACTTTTGGACAAATTCTGTCTCCAAACGGGGATCACGAAACTCGATCTTTGAGAATATTTTAACTCTAAGACCAAATTTGACCTTGAGTCTTAAGACTGCCTCTGAGTAGACTTGACACAAAGCCGTTAGCCGAAAATAGGCGGACGTTATTTTACTCGAACGTCGTCTCGGTTCTAAGAACGAGAAATTATACATTCAGAGACCGTTTCTACCCTCTAGACATGTACAATGACGAACAACGTTTTGAAAGACACCGATTTCGTCAGAACACCATCGGAACTCATTCAGTGATTGATGAACTGCAACATCTGTAACTTTGTATTCCAACGCTATTAGAAGCTACTGCAGTGCTCTCTAACGTGTTTGGTTCTTCATGCCTAGATCAATCTTTTTGTATGATCGAAACCATATTTGTGGTCGTGATCGTTAAATCAATTTGTGATATCAGGAATGGCTTTCACAGCTAGACAGTAGATCACGATTTAGTATAAAACAGGTTATACAAACACTGACTGTAGACTGAGAAATACTATTAGAGTTGCAGTCAATATTTTGGCAGTCCATTTACACGTTGACTGTGGGCATCCTGATAGACAGAGGAATGAAACACATTACATCAAATTACATTACAGGGAAATCAATACACATTTGTCCACTGGGTAATACGTAAAATGAGGGCGAAAATGATATATTATCTATTAGTCCTTATTTCCCATTGTCCACTGGGTAATACCTAAAATGAGAGCGAAAATGATATATTATCTATTAGTCCTTATTTCATTAACTTTAGCTGTAAATACGAATGCTACCTCCACATACAAACACGCTCTGTAGAAGGATTAATGTCATTCAGGAGTCATTCAAAAATATAACCAGTATCATTGAGTGAAGAACATGCTTTACATCTACTGATAGAACTTTTAAAGATGACTGCAGTTATTATGATTAGACTCGCGAACCAGTGTATTACATAGCTGTTGTATAGGACCATTGAATACACTTTGAATACGATGCACATATATATCCAAACAATATTGGTATAAGTTGTAACATTTGATGTGCAGGTACAAACGTATCTCACGCATTAATGACTTAACATTTGTGTTTAGCACTCAAACATATAGCAATATCCTGTAATGTCTCTAGCCACAGAAACACATTGTTTGGGTTGACCGTTGACCACTGACATGTAAAGAAAACTGTCCGAACCAGGCGTGCACATAGCCAAAGTCGCCAAGGGATTGTCCGATCGACCTTTCCTCCCGCCCCTTGTACCATGCCTCGGTATACAGTGTTTACATTTTATCTACATTTGTCATTTTCACGTCGTGGTTTGTCCATCGGCATTGATGGACCATGGCTTCGTTGTACTGGTTTTCTAGATGACTTGGAAGGTGACTGATGAATGCCACATTCCACCTGATAATTACATCCATCATGGTGTTAGTATATATACATCGGATTGTCAGTAATAACAAGGAATTATTGGACTCAAAATGTCAATGAGAATTCTGTGTTGGAAACACTGAAATCAATGACTGCTCCGGTTATTTCCGAAAAGGGTAAGCATGCCCTATGGCAATTATCAAATCATTAAATAGTGATGACATTCACCAAGTAGGTTATGTTATTAGATTACCAATATATCTTCTCGTTCACAACAACAGTCATGATAAGCATAATGAAAGAAGTACATCACACAAAATACAGAGTTTTTTGAAGCCCTATTTCTCTATCTGTCCTTAAGGATTACATTCTACTGATGTTCTTATGAATTATTCAATATCCGCCATACAATCATGTAATGTCGCGACTTCTATAATCATGGCCCCAAGTAAAACAACTTGAATACCTTTATTGAGTAATGTTCTTTATGCTTGATCGGCATGTTCTGCCTAAAGATCTGGTTTTCGAGGACCCTTTCGCCTGTTTCCTGCCAAAATCAAATATTCCTGCCCACGTATTAACAATCTTCCCCAGCCACTTAACACAGCAAAGTGTCTCCTCGACTGGGCAGTACATGTTATCACCATGTTACAGCTCTGACCACGTAACGGCCACCTTATCACAAGTCTAACAACTTCATAACAAGCTCCAAGCTGCTTATTCGAGGGAAAGGAAAGAAATTGTTCGTACATATACCTGCCAATTGAGCACGGTCTTGGCAATAAGGTCTTTGAAGCGCCAGGCTTTCTTATCATGATCGATTCGCCAGCAGATCATACGCGCTTTTCTCACATTGGTCACTGGTAGTATTTCCTGAATCTCAGAGGAGGATATTGTGGCCAAGACGTTTTGAGCGTATTTCGTGTAGCATCATTTTACTGTTGATGGCGGTTTGCCCATGGGCTGCCCCGTGAGGGTTGGTTCGGTTCATCTAGATACAATTTGGTAAAGAGGCTTCTGTATGGCGTTACAATACGATGTTGTTATGTACCATACGCCAGTATAATCCACAGAACCCCTTTAGCGCGAGTCCAGGTTGGGATGACACCTATTGATTTTATTTTTGACTGTAGTTGATGGAGATGGAGAGTTAGAATGCACTGTATGTTACAGCTGTGATTGGCACGTAGTGAAAGGGGTGTGGTTTCGCCCGAACAACTTAACAAAGCACGTGACAGACAATGTTACGAAGTATATAAAATGAAGTCATCGTGAAAATCAGCGTTTTATGAGTTTCAGGGAATGATGGATGAATATTGCGTGTGACTAAGAAGGATCGGTGATAGAGTTACCTGTTAATGCATGGTAACGGAGATGCTATCGGTATATGGGAAGTCATATGGTACAAAAACAGTAAGTAGAACCCATTTGTCTTGTTTATACAAATTTTTTGAATATTAACATTGAAATTAATTTATTTTAAGTAAACAATGCGCTATATAAATGTATTCCTAAAAATAATATTGAGAAGACATTTTCTATTCAATCATGACAATCTATCCGTATTGCGAAAGCAAGTTTGTCGCTAGTGAGAAATATTCGGTGGCACTTGATAATGTCCATGTAACGTGACACATATGACTCTTTACACAAACAGTAATACATCTATGGGAATCAGATATGGAATCATAAGAAATCATGTCACATATTTCCGAGCCTTTCGGTCACAGAAAATCTTCATCCAATTTGGCGTTCTTTTCACCTATCAAAATCTGAAGAAAGATTTCTTAGTGATGTCAACCCGATCACTTGATAAACGCACACGGCGGAGCCTGTCAGCAATCAGCCTGACCTATTATCAAGACAAATCAAAGATAAATCGATTCTTTAACTCTAGCCCTCAATTTCAGATATTACCAACGCTTTTTCGGTCACACTACGCAGAAGCTTTGTCCCAATCAAGAAAATCATGTCTTGTCAGTATGAAACAGTCTTACCATAAAGGCACAAAGGAGTTATTACCAAGCCAGGCCTTTGGTGGAACCCGTGTCTAGACCCTGAAAGCTAACGGTGACATATCTATTCCTCGCAGATTGTGGTACCTGACTAAACTGTGACAAGGGAGCAGATTGGTCCTTCGACGATTGGACAGAAGTGTATAGTCTGTTTCGAAAAGAGGAGTGTTGCCTTGGATATTCAACAAGTGTTGGCCATCATAAGTGTATCTTCCACACGGAATAGGGACATGTCTCAGGGCTAGTCGACTGAGTGTATATGGTCACAGAGAAATCGACATATGAAGAAGGATACCGTGCATTCAGATTACTCTTGAAGAAGTGAAATTGGAGTTCTGTGTATTCAGTTGCTTGAAAATAGTGGACAGATGTAATTTAGCGAACGAGATGTGTGTTTAAGATATTTATTCTCGGTGATTTAAAAAAATGTCAATGTGAGTTACGATGATGATGCACCATTTCCGTCCATTGTAGATTACGTAAGTCAATTTCTCTTCCCTTTGAGTGCCAACATGACATTTCAACCATCGGTTTTCAACAGTGATTAATCAACTGCAGGGAGACTGATCCTTACTGAACAAAGGAGATTTCGTTTGAGTTGGAATAGCATTACAATGATCGTGCTACTCAACACCAAGAATTACGTTGAAGAAGCCGAGTGTTTCTTGGCCATGGTCGTGTAATATTCTGACGTTACTATCGGAGAGCAGGACACCCTCGTACAATGAAGGTTGCTTGTAGCATTTACGTGTTGACATGCCTGTCATTTGCCTTTGGATCTCTTGCTGGGATAACGTTAGCTTTGGCCGTGGCGACCGATGCATGGCTTTTTACAAAGGAGATGGTGCCTACCATTGTGCCGAACACAACTCATGTCATTCAAGTACTAACTGAATTACGGTCCGGCCTATGGAGGGTTTGCACGATCAATATATTAAATGGTAAGTATGCATTGCTTATACGATAATATCTATTTGGTCTAGGGCTATTTGTTTATAACCTTTATAACTTAAGTTTGATCAGGATTCACTTATGCATATGAACAGGTGTAAGGATGGTGTTAAATCTTTGCGTGTAAATCTAAACTTAAATTGTGACGTGTGTATTTACTCTTTAATGTTAGCTTGGAGTGAAGATATCAGTATGTGGCTCAATTGTTAGCTCGTCACAAAGAAGGCCCTTGTTAGATTCTCCTCCCGGAGACAATGTGTGAAGGCCTTTTCTGGTGATTGTGTAGGACATTCCAAAAAGCGCCGTAAGTCAACTCTTGCTTATTGGGCTCAGTAAGAGAACTGCCTGTTGGGCTTCTGCGGGTCAGCTTAAACGTTTCGTGTTGGAAGCTTTCATCTCGTTTGTACAATACGCATTCAGTGTCTCTGTCATGTGTCATATGTTGTAGGCAAGTCGTTGCAGTCTGTACAAAACTCCAAACGCTTGACCTACTTGATTTTAGTTGCGGAACGAGGTATAATGTTCACAGCCCTCGTTACATGGCCTCTATAATAATAAAAATCAACCTCCCTCGCACAGAGTATCATTCCTGAGAAATAGTTAATCATTTTTATGCAGCCTGAACCGTTGAATGATTCAAAGCATATGTCAGTTTTGTTAGTCTTTCTTCCCAAAATCTATTGTTTAGTTTCCGCTACCGTTCACATCAATTCAGTCATAGCTCGTTTTTAGTTTTAACGCGGAAGGGACGTCGGGACTGATTGTTTGGCTGACGTTGCTTGCCACAGCGCACAAAGAATACATTTAGATAAATTATTTATACCACCTTGCAAAACAACAGTGTGGATGATTATGTAATTTTGATTCATATGGTGAGTGATGACATCATTAATTGACTTGAAAGTTACCAGCGTACCAAATTATAGAATCGACCGGGTTAGAATTGATCTTCAGTAACCCCTGTTTGTCGTAAGATCGGGTTGTCAGGCTCGCTGACTTGGTTGCCACATATCGTATCCCAGTTGCGTAGATTGATGCTCATACTGTTGATCACTTTATTGTCTTGCCCAGACACGATTATTTACAGATCGCCGCGATGTCGTTGGAATATTGTTGAGTGCGGCGTTAAACAACTAACCAACCAAACTAAGTAATAGAATCTGTTCGTTGGATAATCGAGACTGTTCATTCTCTGGAGTTAACGTTTGTTATTTACTAGTTTTAACAGCAATGATAGATGATTCCAGCGATGCTGCTGAAAATCTGTTAGTTGGTCATTATAACAAAGCGTCTCTGTGGCTAGGTATGTGCATGCGCTGGAGATGGTACTTGCAACTTGTGTATTACTTGTGACACAATTTGTCAATGCATGTAGGAGATATCGTGCGTACACTGTGGTATCGCATTAGCAACGTAATGAATATTTTTCTTTCTGGGTTAATATATATCTTTCAATTTCGCAGTTTAATTGAAGTTCTTTTGTGATCAAATACTGTCTGTCACGTGCGCTCCCAACAAGCCGAACATTAGACGTGGGACGATAAGAAAGATCGCAGAGTAGCTATACTCCTACAAAAAGAAAGGGGTCATCAAATATAAATGTGAATATCAGTTATTACAATAAAGATAATGCTGGCCACAACATTTTATGCAAGAACGTTTTGTCTCACTGTATGAAGTGAAACTCTAACACATTCGACAGTTTGTACTTGTCACACAGAGAAGCGTCACGCACGTTCGTTGGGTGTCATTCCTGAATTCAACACATTCAAGGAAGGTCGATTAACATTCGTGGATCATTACGTCTGTCAGTATTATTAATTCTCATATAATTATGAGTAATTGAGTCTCGTTCTTTATAAAAGTATGTGTATGAACATCTGTGCGGCTTCAACACTGCGATGGGTGTCTACGGGTTACTGACATGTTGAAAAACTCAGAAGCCAGGTCATTACGTTCATAGTCTGTGATAGGAAGATCATGGAACAGGTACCTACAAACCCACAATATTAACGATCGAACCGGTTCAGTTCGTTCAAGGTCAAAGACAAGAGTAAAGGACCAATTGACCCGAGACCAGAATTCGGATGAAAATGCTGAAAACTGTATGAATTAGGGATTAGGTGATTAGAATTCGTCTCCATGCATTGTCAACGACCATGTCTTAAGCCTTCTCTTACAGATATTGTGAGCAGACGTCCACTTTCTTCAGATGAGTCCCACTTTATCTTGAATGTCCTTGATAGTCATGGTCAGATGTCTGGCAGCGTTAACCTAAAACCACATCACAACTGTCGTGGTGTATCGGTTGTGGTGTTGGGTGGTAAAACTATTGTGCAAGGAAGGATCACTGGACAGTACTGTCTGGACAACACACTGATAACTGTGTTTTGTCCCGTTTGCAAGACATGTGAGTTAACCTCTTGTCCTTCGGGACGACGACCCATCTGTTCACCGTGGATTGATCAGACTCCGTACTTGTTGTCATGCCTGGTCCAGACCTCTTACAAACGGCGGTCATACAGCTTTTGGAAGCGTTAGACCAACATACGCACAAACACGTTGTTCAATGCAAATGGATAATATAAGACATAAAAACTGAACCCCCGCCCTGACACCACCAAGCTATTGAGAATCGAACATATCCCTGAGAGGATTCTCTTAACTTGTTCACAACAGAATCTCTGCACTTGTCAGCAGAAGCCTTAAAACAAACACTTCCCCCGTCAATTGTAGTTTTAACATAATCAATAAACGTGCTGTGATATCACCGAATTGTCTAGTCCACCGTCACTGGAATGCTGAAATCAAGATTTATGTGTTTACCGACCGCTGTCATATTCCATCAATACTTCTTTGCGGTGTTAGATATCAAAAGCTTTTGTTTGTTTTTTTCTTTTCTTTGTATATCGTAGGAGTGTCTGGGGGTAGCGCTTGAACAGGACATACTTACACTTTCCGGAAACACCGTGTGTAATCACTGAGGTTCAGTAATCCATTCATATAAGTTTCATCATTTATTTTGACTTTTCCGAATAATGAATATTCTGTTTCGGCTGATTACCGATATTGGTCATTTATCGGGCGAAAAGTTGGTATTTTAATCTTCGCAAACAACGATGCGATTGAACATTACTGATAACTCATTTCAACTACGAATGTCGTACAAGAGCGGTATCCTGAGTTATTTCAAGCAAGTGCTGTGTCAAAGCAAATACGATATGTGATGGGTTGGGTTTCACTTGTAATCGTGTATTAATTCAGTGCACAGAGAGACCATCAGCCATGGTATTACCATCCAGCTGAGGGTACGATGCCATCGTCAATCGATAAAGTCTAAGGTGCGAGTCATGCTTTGAGCGACTTCGTTTGGACCACACAGTCTTCGGCGACAACCGTGTTCCTTTAATACAGTGTTGCATCCCAACAGCTTGACGTTTGCCACTTTAGACAATCCAACGAACAAATGTATGGTTGTGACAGATCTTGGATCATGGTCGTGGACAGTATAAGATTTAAAGAAACGGTCAGCAGATCCCCGGGCCTATGTCAACCAATGCAAATATACAGGTTACAGCTCGTATTAAGAAGTACCTCTATTCACTTGGAGACACGCATGGTAAATCGTCTATGGGTTGATCATAGCATGTTGCCTTAAGGATCCCATCGTGTCATTTACTATTTTCTTTGAACAGTCGTTTCTGTTTTCAGCAGAGATTTCTTTAGGATCTGGAAAGGGTTTTTGCCGCTTTTATTTATGGGTAATTTTTAAAGGGGTTTGCCATTATATTTATAAATCATTATGGAAAGGGTTTGCCGATTTATTTGCGAAGAAATAATAACTTAGCATTTCAAAGTAACTATTTGTATTGAAAATTGATTGCCTGAGACTTTATCTATTTCGAGAGATGTCAGAAAACGTGTCTGGGAGTATCTATTATCTATTATGATATAGGTAAGTAGAGACAGTGCTGAGACGTATATCGAGTTAATAGTGATAGTAATGAAAACGTCCTGGTTGAGAATCCGACTATCTGATTTATGATTTAGTTGTAATTGGATACTGACACTGCCTCTTCATATACACATACTATCACACTCGTAACCTTCTAACTGGGAATCGAATTCAACGGTTGTCTGACAACTTGGTTATGATCAGATCCATTTACAAATAAGTATCCAGAAACGTAAAGTAAGCTATATTAATGATATAGGTTTACACGGATACTATGGAATCAATTCCGCATTCATCACTCATGGTCGGTAAACAGACTACTGGAGTCGATACGGACACAATCCGTTCGCCATTCTGTGTTCTCGCAATACTATTAAGTATTAAGTATTAAGTAATACTAAACCAGTGAAGATCCGGGTGAGCATTGGCCTTTAGCAATCCAAACCTGTCGGAAGAGTCAGGCTACGAATATTAACATATGGCACTTGCGTTGATCAATGTTCATAGTGTAAATCACTTGACTGTCTGGTCCAGATTCCACCAGTTAGGACAACAGGCATGTAGCTGGAATATTGGGACTGTTTCATCTGAAAAATCCAACTGAGTAAATTGTTTTATCATCCAAAACTGTGTTCCACAGGAGATATCGCTTGTGTGAGATCATATGATATCTCCTAGGAGATATCGTTTTGACAGTAGATTTTGTACAATGCCCTGACAATGCTATGACGTCATCAACTTTGATGACGTCACAATGCTATGACATCACTGCACAGCAAGTCTAATGGTAGTACAGTGTTGAGAGATGTACATTTTTCATTGAAAACTAATGAAGAATGATTTTTGATGATAAATGGAATCTCACCCTCGTGTCTACTGACATCAATTATATCAACACTCGTTGATAAAAGTGAAAATATCCTCGGCAAGCCTCGGATATTTGTAACTTTATCAACGAGTGTTGATATAATTGATATCAGTACACACGAGGGTGAGATTCTCTATATACCAATCACTCCTTTGTCTGTCGACCAT